TGCAGAGAGCAGGAGGAAAAGAGGTAGAATTGTGAGTCTGTCTTTGTGTGTGTGTGTATGCGCGTGCTTGAGAAAGAGCGAATGGGAGATTACTAAAGAGTCACCTTCTGTCTTTTGAATTTAAGAAATAAATCAGAGCATCTGGCCTGATGTCTTGGGGGTGCCGACCATGGAAAGATTTCATTATTTTCCTGAGTCCCAGGAGGAGGGGTCGCCTCTTCCTGCTGGTTGGTGGTGAGCAGTAGTCACCGTTACAGGCCATTGTGTCTTGTCCTCGTGCTGGTCAGTGCCGTCCTCACTCTGTCGCCTGTAAAGCCTGACTTTTCAGCTGTCCCAGCCTATAATCCATGTTCTGACAGCACTGGTGACGCCCTCAGTGAGCCCTCACACCACCTGCATGTCCGTGTGGCTCAGCAGACCTGCTGTGCGTGTCCGATACACCCCAGATCTTTCAAAGACTTGGTCCCATAGGAAGAATGGAAAATTGCTTCATTAACATTGTTTGTATTGAGGACATGTTGATGATATTTTTGGACATAGTGGATTAAATAAGATCTACTACTGAAACTAATTTCACCTGTTTCTTTCTGCCTTTCCAATCGTAGCTACCAGAGATACTTAAGTGACCGCCGAAGCTCATGCTCTGCTTCTGGTGGACGGCAGTGCCTTTCTCCCTGTCAGTCCTGACTGCCTCCGTGGATTTTCTTATCTCATCCTCCCAACAGCCAGATGAGGAAACCTCTATAACCCCCACTTTCTGAACAGGGAAACTCATACTCAGATAGGTTAAATCGTGTCCCCAAGGTCAGTGAAAGGAAAACACAAGCAATCCGACTTCAGGGGCCTGGAGCTTACTCTCTGAACTATTTCCTCTCTCTCTAAACTGCATCAAAGTCCTGTTAACTGCTGAAAAGATGACTCGACGCGTGGCCTGTTCAGAAACAGGATCCATGTCCTGAGACGAGGGAAGCTGGGAGTAAAAAGCTGAGCTAACCTCTGAGCCGGGCCTGAGTTTATCTCCTTCCTCCTGCACTGACTTCTCCTAAACCCCATGTCCCGTGGCCTGTAGGGCACCCATTAAAGCACCAGCCTCAGCCCCCAGAGCGCCTTGCCCAGCCCTCCCAGCAGGAGAACCCATATCTTTCTCATCTTTGACATTGTCCCCAACTCCACCAATCCAAACACACACACACACACACACACACACACACACACACACACACACACACACACACACACACACACACACACACACACACACACACACACACACACA